GTTGATAGAGTCCTTTGCACAGGCACTGATCTTAATCATGACAGTGAGGTCTTCCTAGAGGCCATGTTTCTTTATAATTTTTTTTTGTGTGTGTGTCTGTGTGTGTCTGGGGGGTGCATTTGCCTGTGTGTGCATGTGTGGAGGCCAGAGGTAGATGTTGAGTGTCTTCCTCTATTACATTCTACCCTATTTTTTGAGATAGGGCCTTTTACTGAACCTAGAGCTCACATAGTTTGGCTAGGCTGCTGAAGCAGGCTCTCTCTGGGGTGCCAACCAGCTCCCAAATAAAGACGCATTAGTTATGACTGCTCGGCCTTATCTTGTGCTTGTCCCACCAGCTCTTATAACTTAGTTTAACCTGCTTCCCTTCATCTACATTTTGCCTCGGTGCTTTTTACCTTTCTTTCATTCTGTATGTCCTGCTTTCCTGCTTCTTCCATGTCTGTCTGTCTGACAGTAGCCTGGCTGACTGGACCCAGGCATCTCCCTCTTTTTCTCCTTCTTTCTCTCCTCTCGAGCCTAGATTCTTCCTTCTACTTATTCTTTCTGGCTGCTGGCCCCACCTATCCCTCTCCTGCCTAGCTATTGACTGTTCAGCTTTTTATTGGACCAGTCAGGTGCCTTAGGCAGGCAAGGTAAAACAAAGGCAAAGCATCTTTACATGAACAAATGTAGCATAAACAAATGTAACACATCTTTGCACAGTTAAAGTAATATTCTGCAACATAAATAAATGTAACATGGCTGGGCGGTGGTGGCACATGCCTTTAATCCCAGCACTCAGGAGGCAGAGCCAGGCGGATCTCTGTGAGTTCCAGGCCAGCCTGGGCTACCAAGTGAGTCCCAGGAAAGGCGCAAAGCTACACAGAGAAACCCTGTCTCGAAAAACAAACAAAAACAAAAACAAAAACAAAAAAACCCCAAAACAACAAAAAAATGTAACACATCTTTACACAGTTAAAGTAATATTCTGCAACATAAACAAATGTAACACATTTTTACATAGTTAAAGTAATATTCCCCAATAGGCTGCTGCCCAGCAGTCCTCCTGAGGTCTTTCTCTCTCCTCCAGCCAGGGCTGTGATTACAGATGTATGCTGTATGCCCAGCTTTTTATGTGGGTGTTAGGGAACCCAACTCAGGTCCTCAAGCTTGCAAAACAAGCACTTTACCCACGGAGCAATTTTTCAGATCCCTTCCTTTTAACGTTAGCAAACTGAATAGAGTATTCCAACATACGACCTTGGAGAGATACCGACATAGAGCATAACAAGTTGTACTCTTTAACTCAAATGTACTCTTTAAAAATGATCCTGATATAACCCAAGTGTCACAGGAGTGGTTTGAGTGACGCACTTTTATTTTTGTGGTTTTTCGAGACAGGGTTTCTCTGTGTAACAGCCCTGGCTGTCCTGGAACTTGCCTTGTAGATCAATCAGGCTGGCCTCGAACTCCCAGAGAACTGCCTGCCTCTCTGCCTCAGGAAAGCTGGGATTAAAGGTGTGCACCACCACGCCAGGTGGATGACACATTTTTAAATACACGTTAAAGCTCCAAAAATCATCATAGCAATTTTTTTCTTCATTTTTTTTCTATTTCATTTCTATGGGTATTTGACCTGCATTTGTCTATGCACACGCAGAGCCTACGGAGGCCAGAAGATTCCTGGGATGGGAGTTACAGACAGTTGTGAGCTGCCATGTGGATGCTGGGAACAGAACCCAGGTCCTCTTGAAGAGCAGCTGGAGCTCTTAACCACTGAGCCATCTCTCTAGGCCCAGTACAAATTTTCTTATAAGAAGCACATGCATTTGCAAAACACACAAGTAAACAAATGTCATGATTTAGAACACAAGAAACTATGTCTGAATGAAAAACAGCTTTCCATCTTCCTTTCCAGAAGCTGCTTTCAGGCTTTAAAACAAAAAAATCTTGTCTCAGCATTTACTTAACATGGGTATGGGCACTCCAGGATTATCAGGGTACTTCAAGACAGGGTTAAACACTCTTGGAGAATGAGCTGAATTTCTGCTTTAAGCTCCATGTGCCCAACACTTCTTATTCCATACCAAAAATATTTGTCTTCTCCTCTCCACACCTCAGTCTGAGTTTGTCCCTGTGGTGGTTTCAATATGTATGACCCCCCCCACCCAGACTCATGTGTTCGAATGCTTGTCCCATTGGGAGTGGCACTATTAGGAGGTGTGGCCTTGTTGGAGGAAGCATGTCACTGTGGAGGTGGGCTTTGAGATATCGTCTATGTTCAAGGTATGCCCAGTGTGGCACATAGTCTCCTTGTGCTAACTGTGGATCAAGATGTAGAACTCTTAGCTACCTCCTGAGCGTCATGTCTGCCTGCATGCCACCATGCTTCCCACCATGATGATAATGGACTGAACCTCTGAAACTGTAAGCCAGCCCCAATGAAATGTTTTCCTTTATAAGAGTTGCCGTGGTCATGGTGTCTCGCCACAGCACCAGGACAGTCCCTAACTGAACGTCTCCTCTTCACTCCTTCGCTTTGTCTGCTTGCTGTCTGATTAGGTCCCACTATGATCCCCTGTGTGATCGCAGATGTAAGTACACATCTGTCTCCCCTCTCCTCAAGACTCCCCTACCCTCTGTTGAGTCATGTCTCCCCTTCCCTGTGGCAGTTTTCTCCCTGGGTCTCCTTGCCACCCCCCCTCCATCCAGCCCAACACTGTCCCGCTGCCTTCTTGAAGTTTAGCATTTATGATATTGCTCTTCCCAAACTTACTAGCTTTAGAACTCCTGGACCACACAGTTCAAATTCAGCTTGAGCCCACTTAGGAGCATTCCTCTTCTGCAAAAAGTTAGAGAATGTGTAAAAGGGAGAACAGCTGGTAGCTCATATCTCTGTTGTCACTGTAAAGAAAAGCATAAATGCACACTGGGATATGATGGACCATAGTGAATTACTCACCCATGGATTGCTCCCACTCATGGAGTTCTGTGAGAAGACTGGATGGGAGCAAGCTTTACTCATTTTACTTCTTTCTTTTGCTGAAATGACCATCATAATGGAATGCTCCAAAGCCCAGCCCAGAAAGCTACAGCATTATGCAGCCCCCTCCGTAATCCAGGCCTCTGAATCTGCCTAGACATTGTTAGATTCCAGCATCAGACAGAGGCATCAAGAGTCACTGGGTTCACATCTTAACACTTCAGAAAGATCGAAGGCAATACTTGTCTGTGTCCATTACGGTACGAGTACTTATGACTTCACACGGAGACAAATCTTTTCACAACAAGTCTTGAGAACGGTGAAAGCTGAGATCTGTTTTCCTGAAAAAAGTCTGAGGTCAACCAAAGTGATCAGAAACAGACTTCAGCAAATGAAATTCTGCGATAGGCTTTAGAGTTATTGGAGAGGGGGCTTTTTCCAGGCTGGTTCTTCCAGAGGCCTCAAGTTTTCATCTGCTTTGAAGTTTCTTGGACAGTGTCAGTTCATCGAAAATTAAATAAATCCACATTGATTCCCATGTGATGAAAAAAAAAAAAAAAACTAACTGGAAGGTATGTTTCCTGTGAATTCCACTGAAAATAGGAGATTCCAAAAGCATAGTTTCCACTGAGGAAATTTAAAAATTAATGTGGCTTCAAGCGAGAGTACTGACAGGAGCTTGGATTGAATATATGGCTCTATTACTGTAAGGCTACAAGCCTCTGTGAAGCATTTCGTGGTACCCTGTGAATATGCACGGCTCTGATGTGTCAATTAAGGTAGTGTAGGTTGTTTTTTCAGTATTCACAGTATTTAAATTATGGAACCATCCTAGATATTTGGCAACAGAGGACTGGATAGAGAATGTGTGGTACATATTCATGATAGGATTTTTTTCAGTCAATTAGAAAAATTCTGGAAAATGGATGCAACTGAAGATAATCACATCAAGTGAGTTAAGCCAGCCTCTGGAGGACAAATTTTCTCTCATTTGTAGTTCTTAGATTTTGTATGTATGTTCGTATCTGTAAATCATGTGTATATGTGACATAAAAGTAGAAATAAAACTGTCCTTGTGGCAAAGCGGACTCATGAGGGTGCAGAAAAGGTCGTGGGAGGTAGAATGAAAAGAATTATGCTTAGCATACAATTTATACTTGTACAAAACCTCAGAAAGTTAAACAATAATAACCGCTTGTCAAGGCCGAGACACCCTGAAATACATCTAGATACATGTAATGGATACATCGAGAATGACTGGACAGACCTAAGAAAAGCTGCCTCAGCCCTGATTTCATGTGTGTTTCCAACAGCACATGTGTCCCCCAGGGTTCTCAAACAATGTGACTGTGGGGTTCACGTCCATTTCCTCTAACTAAGGCAAGCTCCTCCACCACACTTAGTTTTCTGGTCTGGGATGTCGTCAGTCTTCCATGTGATGGCTCTGTGTTTTCGGCTTTTATTTCATCCCACTGTGACTGTTTGCTTATTTGGAAAACGGATTATTCTAATATCCACTTCCAACTCTCACGGGAACACTTGGAGCTGCTGGTGAAAGGCCACCTGCCTGCGAGTATGTCGCAAGAAGCCACGAGGTTACCCGCACAGCGTTGCTACAGCTGTGCTTCTGGGCAGGGTTGTTGAGTAGGTGGGACGGAAGAACGTTCACTCACCGGGACAGGCTACATACTTTGCAGAGCCAGGTACAAAGTGAATGCATGGTTCTTAAAAAAGAAAAAAACAAACAACAACAACCAGCCCAGCTGAGATGGTTGGACATGTGGCTCAATTGTCTAAATGCTTGCCTCACATGCATGAGGCCCTGAGTTCAGGTCTCCAGCGTTGCCTAAGACCTGGAATTACACTCACGGTAGCAATGTGCACCTCTCCCCCTCTTAAGAACGACCTCTGTCCCTAAGTGTCACTGGCAGCTAGGAGGACAGATCCCTAAGGGATAATTGCATTGTGGCCTACGGGTCTCCGTGGTGGCTTTGGCCACTGGCTAGTTCAGGCAACAGGCGCCGCCTCCTGATTCTGTTTACTTGTTGCCCCAGGAGACGCACCGGCGTCCCCGGCTCCGTGCGCTGCAGCACTCGGCTTCCTGGGTCCCAGCGGCATCTCGTGGGGGCCAGCCAACATGAGCCACAGCAGCTCCTTGGGCTCCGGGAGCCTGGAGCGCCCCTGCGACGCCTCACCACCCCAGGTAGAGTTCCCACTGCTGTTTCCTGGGAGGGGCACGGGAGTCTCGGGTTTGCACAGTGGGTGAGAATGGAGCAGCTCAGCTCCTACTGGGAAAGTGGTCAGGAATGGCAGGTCTCGAGGTGGTGCCACGCCGCGGCCCCTCTGACCCTGAAACTGGCTGAATTCCCCGGAGCAGCCTCTTCTGGAGGTTCTTCTCCCACCCTCTCTCCAGGGAACAAAGGGATTGCTTCAAGGAACTGAATTTTCCATTTGGTGCAGCGTCTTTTAACCTAGAGGTGGCGGGATCGGCGCTGGGCCTCACAAGGCCTCCAGCCTGCAGGCTGCTAACAGGTCCCCAAAGAGTGGTTGGAACTATTTCCTCGTTACTCCTAGGATCTACTAGGCATTGGGGACCTTAAGAGGTGTCACACTCCCAAACAGGAAAGGGAAACTTCTGAACCTGCCTGGGGTCCTCCTCGGAAATTGTGTGTGTGTGTGTGTGTGTGTGTGTGTGTGTGTGTGTGTGTGTGTGTGTGTGTGCGCGCGCGCGCGCGCACTTCTTTCAGAATAAATCTCTAACCTAGGAGGTGTCCTCAGGACACACCCACCATGTACATACTCTGGGCAAAATTGGATGGATTAAAAACATGGGTTGGAGCTGGGCGGTGGTGGCGCAGGCCTTTAATCCCAGCACTCGGGAGTCAGAGGAAGGTAGATCTCTGAGTTCGAGGCCAGCCTGGTCTACAGAGTGAGCTCCAGGACAGGCACCAAAACTACACAGAGAAACCTTCTCTCAGAAAAAGAAAAAACCCCAAAAACCCATAGGTTGGATTCTCTAACATGATATCAGAATTCAGTTATTTAGCACACTTGACTGTCACCCCACTCCTAGGTTTCTCTGATCCCCACACATATTGTGGGGAACCAATATCATGCGTGATATGCAAATATATCTAATTTTTCTTCTGACAATTTCATATTTGGTATTACATTTTATCTTAATGTAGTGTCTGTTCTCTGAATTAAGATGGTTGAATCATATATAAGTTATGTAATACATTTGTTATTAATATATTTTTAGCGAGCCCATTCAAAGTAAATTACAGATCCTACCTCCAAATATGTTCTTGTAAGAATAAGTGCAGTGGTCAAATTCAGAATGTTTAGCATTATTATAATCATATCTTCTAATGTATATTATCTGCTAAATTTTGGCAATTATCCCAAATATAAAATATTTTACTCCACCTCCCCACACACACATTGTGTTTAGTGTCTTTAAATTTGAACCAGCTCCTCAGCTTTTTGCAACTGTGACTCCCCATGAGCTGATGATTGGTAGGAGACTACATAGGAGATATTGTGTCTTGGTACATTACTTCAGGAGCTGTGAAATATCAGCATGACCATTATTGTTGATGTTCTCAATAACGGGGGACTATGTCTGCTGGATGCTTCCACCATAAAATTCCCCTCAGTGATAAGTAAATGATTATTGGGGCTGGGAAGATGGCTCAGTGGTTAGATCATGTGCTGACTTTACATTGATATGGTGGCTCAAACCAGCTGTTCCTCTAGTTCCATTGGACCCACCACCCTCCTCTGACCTCCTGTGGGCTCCAGGCTTGTACATGTGCACCTACACATACACTTGGCAGCACATTCATACATGTAAAAGCACTTGCTTAATCATCATAATCATCATAATTGTGTAATTATCTTTTAGGATAAGCTCCTACCTACTATGAAGGAGAATTTTTGCTACACTTGATATTGGAGCTGGCTTGGAAGAAATAGACTTTATTGAGAAGGGTGGAAAGAGAAAAGCCAGCATTGATTACCATTAGAATTTGAATTTATAAAATAGTTCGTCTGAGATGATCTTAGGTAGATAATGAAGACGTTTCAAATTATATAGTTGGGTTGCTCACTTGACAAAAGACGAAACTAAGACTCAACTGTCTTCTGCAAGTTTTATGCATGTCCTGCTGTGCTGCGCTGAAAAATGGATTAAAATGCAAAGCATGGACAGGAGGTCCCTTTCTGATAGCGGAGATATCCAAGGGACTGAGACACCAGGCTTGGAATAAAAGCAGGGCTCAAGCAATCCGGATTATTCTACTCCTCCAGAATATTTTGGTTGAAAATTCTTTAGGACTTTAGAACTTGAATGTTCTCACCAGGAAGAAGATGCATTAATGTTACCCTTTTTGCTATGATACAATACCATGACCAAAAATGGCTTACGGAAGAAAGTTTATTTGGACTTTTGGTTCCAGAGGGAGAGTCCATGCATGCCCTCTGCATGGCAGCAGGCAGCTGGAGCTAGGCGCTGAGAAGACCACACCTTCAAACACACTCAGAAAGTAGAAAGAGCAAACTGGAAGTGAATTCTCAAAGCCTGCCCAGTGACATGCTTCTTCCAGCAAGGCTCCATTCCCTAAAGGTTCCATAGCCTCTCCCAAACAGTGCCATTAACAGGGGACCAAGTGTTCAGATATGGAAGCCTTTGGGGGGGGGATTTCTCATCTAAATCACTACAGAGAGAGGGAGAGAGAGAGAGAGAGAGAGAGAGAGAGAGAGAGAGAGAGAGAGAGAGAGAGAGAAAGAGCGCTCATAATACCATGTAGTGTCTTGGGGATTTCATAGTCAATGTGTGAAGGGCACTTAACAGATTGTCTGCTATGATACTAATTAAAATTAGCCATTAGTGTGCTTCCTGCTATAACCATCACTGGTATTTCAACCAGTACCTCTGCCGCCACCTCAACAATCGGTTTCTTGAGGATTCAAGAGTGAGACTGAAGCTAGAAAAATAAACGAGTTCTTGCCTTTCCTGGAGAGTTAGTTTGTGGTCAAGGGAACTGGAACCATGACAGGGATATTCCTTCTCTGATGTCACATGAGAGTTTATGCCAAGATTTTCCTCAGTTGAATTTACTGAAATCAAATCACCCACCAGAAGAGCTTTCTGAGGCTAGAAAATGTGAGAGCTGTGGGCGGTGTTAGAACTGACCGGAGCTTCTCAGGCAGGGAGGAGGGGGCCGTGCGTTGGAGAATTCATGAGCAGTGTGGTAGAACTGGGAGTCCTCGTGCACTTGAAACAGTAGCGAGGTGTGAAAGCGCCACCCAAGGACGGGGCAGTGTCAACAATCGGCAAAAGCTATAAAGCGGGAATTTTCTGAAAAGTGTTTTGATTTCTTGTCAGGGCCATGAACTAATGATACCGTGCAGGCCATTTTCCAGTATTGCTGTTTTTACTCATTTAGAGGTTCTGAATGAAAGTTATGACTCCAATCTGAGCTACTATTGGGAAATGGAGCAAGTGTCTTTCCTCTGGGCGTCACAGGGGCTGGAGAGATGGCTCAGTGGTTAAGAGCACTGATTATTGGTACAGAGGACCCAGGCACATAAGGAACCAAACAACTGAATATGTTAAGGCAAAAAGGCATCACTCGAGGTGATGGTAAAAATTGATATGCTAAGATGATAAAGATTTCATTCACTGGGAAATTGTAATAGTTCTAAGTGTGCATGTACAAGTAGTATGGCCTCAAATACCAGAAGAAAACCTGGTAGGTCTGTTAGGATGAACAGACAAATCCACACAAGGTAGCACATGTCCTTCCTTTTGAAATTAAACATTATTGTGTGCATGTGTGTAAGTGTGTGCGTATGTGTGTGTGAGGGAGGGAGGGAGAGTGTGTGTGTGAGAGTATGAATGTGTGTGTGAGTGTGTGTGTATCTGTGTGTATGTGTGTGAGAGAGAGACTGCGTGCGCGCGCGCGCGTGTGTGTGTGTGTGTGTGTGTGTGTGTGTGTGTGTGTGTGTGTGTAAGCCAGAGGATTACTTGTCAGAACCAGCTCTCCTCACCATGGGTGTCTGAGTGACTGGAATCAGGCTTCACAGTTGGTACCTTAACTCCCTGAGTCATCTCCTTGGCTCTAGAACACTTGCAGCATACCTCAGTTAGGGTCGGGTGGATCAACCGGTCAAGAGTTTGGTAGGGGAGGCGTTAAAGGGCTGAAATTCAGATGTCGTTAAGTTATTGTGAGAATAAACGTGTAAAATAGTGGAAGGCTGGGAGAGGAATTGGAGAGGAGGGAAAAGGAGGTGGATTTGATGAAAATACTTTATGCACGTATATAAAGTTCTCAATAAACAGACAAACACCAAGCCCCGAACAATAATTTGAGCCTTTGAGTATCTTCACTCGTGTGGGTTGCTGTCGATCTTGACAGCTGCTCCTTCCTAATCTGTATTAGTTCTTCACTTTAAAGTTTTATTGCTCTGTTGCAATCCCTATGAGATAAAGTAATCAAGATGTTTTTCTCCCCTGTACCGAAAGTGGTGTGTGTGTGTGTGTGTGTGTGTGTGTGTGTGTGTGTGTGTGTGTCTCCTTAGATCATGAAATAATTAGACCTAAGCCTAGAAGTACTTTATTGGTAGGGACTGAATGAAATGAGAGCTTTATACTATTATGAACGAAGGAAAACTATCAAATCATTTGAGAAAGTTAGATAACCCAGCTTCAAAGGAATTCGGCAAAATCCTGGCCAGTACCCTTCCAAAGTGTTGAGGCAGCGAGGGAAGGCTGAGGGGATCTGAAAACCAAAGGTAATATGGGAGTCTGCATTGGCTCCTGGTCAGGAAAGGGCTCTTCCTGCAAAGACGGTGAGACCGTAACAAGGCCTGCAGAGCAGTCAGACTATAACACTCTACGCTCTTAGTGTTGATAAATGCGCACAAGCTGTTTCCAGGGGAGGCTGGGGGAAGATGTCTTTGATCAGAAAGTCTTTGTTCCGGTTTTGCATCATTTCCAGAATCCTAAGTCATTTCAGAGTAAAATACCTAAGAGGTAAATGAATAATGATGAGAGGCTTGCTCATTTACACTTTGACTTGGAGATTTTTATTATACCGTTCATCTGCTCCTGGCTCCTACGCGCCCGGCCACCTGGCTTCAGAATGGAGTGGGAGATAACACCTTCTGGCTCCAGAATGCTGGGGGAGATAGCACCTT